TAGTGATACCACCCCAGAAACCCAAGGAGGCATCGGCTGTGAGTTGGATGACTGGACTGAGGGCAGTGAGTTTGTTTTTGTTTACAAATATAAGATAGGCTACTCCCACTTGCCCTTTAATGTTATGTAAATTTGCCCTCACTTTGACATTGTTGAACCAAACCCCTACTTTAAACAAATTCATCACAGTCACCTTCAGTTGCTGCATGTGCAGTTTTAAAATCATTGAAAAGGCTTCCAGCCTTTTCTTGCACTAAAAAAAACAAAAACAAAACTCCCTGCCATCAGTCCATTCCGACTTACAGCGACCTCCACTGGGTTTCCAAGGCTGTAGATCTCTGCGGATGTAGATTGCCTCATCTTCCTCCCATGGAGCAGCTGGTGAGTTTGAACTGCTGAGCTTCTGGTTAGCAGCCAAAAGCCTTACCCACTACGCTACCAGAGCTCCTTTTTTCTTTCACTAAAGTATGGCTGACCAGATGCCCCTGGTCCAACTTACCTACAAATCCTTAAAAGACATAGCAACGGACCTTGTTGGAAACTCAGAGACTGCCTGTATAGTAAAATGCTGTGGAGATAAATAAAGTAGGGACGGGAAGTCAGAGTGTGCTGGAAAGGAGTTATAATCTTAAGAAGGATGCTCAGGATGTTTACACATAACTGGGTACAAAGTTAGGATAACTTCTTAGCCACAAATAAGTACTTTAAGGGAATGGGTCACTGGGCCTGTGGGCTGGGGACCATGGTCTCAGGGGACATTGAATTCATTTGGCACGACATGGTATACAAAAATATTCTACATCTTACTTTGGTGAGTACCGACTGGGGTCTTAAAAGCCTGCGAGCGGCCATCTAAGTGACAACTATCGGTCTCTCCTCATCCAGAGCAAAGCAGAATGAAGAAAATCAAAGATGCACAGAAACAGTTAGTCAAAGGAACTAATGGACCACGAGAACCTCAACTTATATGACCCTGAGACCAGAAGAACTGGATGGTGCTTGGCTACCAATGCCATCCACTTGGAAAGGGATCAAAATTGGAGATCCTGTATAGAGTGGGAGAACAATGTGGAACAAAACTCAAAATCATAAAAAAAAAACAAACTGGTTTACTTATCTGATGAGAGACTGGTGAAATCACTGAGACCCTTCAGGCTTGGAATTGAACTCACTGCCATGGTTTAACTCTCAGCCAAATAGACAGGGCTATGAGCTCTAACACGTACACCAGGGAGAGGCACTCCTAGAGCAGTCAACATGGGAGACTGGAAGGGCAGCATTTGCACAGGGAAAAAGTTAAGGAGGCAGGAGTACACAGGCTAGGACACAGGGAAAGGGTAACCACAAGGAGTGAAGTGGGAGGTGGGATGTTAAACTGCAGGGAACATAACCAGTGTCACAAAACAATGTGTATGAACTGTCGGATGGAAAATGAATCCATTTTGTAAAATTTCACCCAAATTATAATAAAAAGGTTTTTTCAAAAAATGATGCTTAGGGAAGGCCTCACTGAGGAGGTGGCCTGTGAATGAAGGCCTGAAGGAGGCAAGGGAACAGACAACAAAGGTGACGGAAGGAAGTGCATATGGGGAACAGCAAGGACAAAGTTCCTGAGGCAAGAGCTTATCTGGCTGTTTGAGGACCAGTCAGGAGGCAGTGTGGCTGGAGCAGCGAGTGGTTGTTGTTGTGAGGTGCTGTTCAGTCATCTCCAACTCATAGTGACCCCATGTACAGCAAAACGAAACACTGCCCAGTCCTGTGCCAGCCCCACGATCCTTGCTGTACCGAGCCCATCGTTGTAGCCACTGTGTCAGTCCATCTCGTTGAGGGCCTTCCCCTTTTTCATTGACCCTCCACCAAGCATGACATCCTTCTCCGGGGAATGGTCCCTTCTGACAACATGACCAAAGTAGGCGAGATGAAGTCTGGCCATTGTCGCTTCCAAGGAGCATTCTGGCTGCACTTCTTCCGGGACAGATTGCTTGTTCTTCTGGCAGCCCATGCTACTTTCAGCATTCTTCACCAGCACCATAACTCAAAAGCACGGACTCCTCTTTGGTCTTCTTTATTCATTGTCCGGCTCTCACATGCATATGAGGCTATCGAAAATACTGGCTTATGTCAGGCGCACTTTAGTCTTCAAGGAGACATCTTTACTCTTCAGCACTTGAAAGAGGTTCTTTGAAGCAGATTTACCCAATGCTATATACATCCTCTGATATCTTGACTGCTGCTTCCATTGGTGTTGATTGTAGAACCAAGTAATATAACATCTTTGACAACTTCAATTTTTTCTCCATTTATCGTGATGCTGCTTATTGGTTCAGTTGTAAGGATTTTTGTTTTCTTTATATTGAAGTATAATCCATAATGCAGACTGTGGGAGTCTTCATCTATAAGTGCTTCAAGTCATCCTCACTTTTCGCAAGCAAAGTTGTGTCATCAGCGTATCACAGGTTGTTAATGAGTCTTTCTCTAATCCTGATGCCACGTTCTTCATATAGGGATTTGCTTCTTCATATAGTCCAGCTTCTCGGATTATTTGCTCAGCGTACAGGTTGACTGAGAATGGTGAAAGGATACAACCTGACACATTCCCTTCCTGATTTTAAACCATGCATGTCCCCTGGTTCTGTTTGAATGGCAGCCTCCCAGCACATGTACAGATTCCTCATGAGTACAATTAAGTGTTCTTAATCCCCTGTGAAGGGAGAATTAAGTGGAGCAGTGAGTAGAGAGGGATTACTAGGAGAGAAGTTCAGATCATATAAGTCCTAGAGAGAGACGGGAGCAGTTGGAAGCTTTGAGTGGACTGACGTGATCTGAACGTGAACAGAATCACTCTGGCTGCTGTGTTGGTGTTGACTGAAGGGAGCGTAGGGAAAGGAGGGAGATGGTTGGTGGTGGCTTAGACCACGTAGATGGCTGGTGGAAGCAGTGGAGGTGATGAGAGTCTAGATGTATTTTGAAGGTAAAACCAACAATGGTTACAGATGGAGAGAAGAGAAAAACAATCAGACAGTTTGGAAGCCACTCTTCTCTGGTGGCGCAGTGCCTAAGGCTTTAGCCTACTAATCAGAAACCTGGCAGTTCAAATTCACCTATCGCTCTGCTGAAGGAAGATGAGGCAATCCACTTCTGTAAAGATTTACTACCTTGGAAACTCAGTGGGGGTCACTATGAGTATGAATAGAGTCAATAGCAGTGAGTGTGGTTTTTGGTTTTTGAGTTGTGATCCAGCTCTGGGTCTTTGCCCAGGTCAGCTGTGGTAAGAGAAGATCAGTTCAGTTAGGGATGTAAAGTTTGTAGTGCCAGGGGTCCCTGGGTGGAGCAAATGGTTAAACACTGGTTAGACGCTGGCATGCTGTGCAGGGAGAGCGCAGCCAGGACACCTGGAGTCCCAGGCGTGAAGACTCGCACAAGGATGGTAACAAACACCTTCACTGCTCCCTTCAGGATTTGAAACCAATATAAATGGTTACTAACTGAAAGGTTGGCGGTTCAAACCTGCGCCGAGGACCTCAGAAGAAAAGGTCTGGTGATGTGCTTCCAAAAAACCAGCTACTGAAACCCTGCAGAGCAGAGTTCTGCCCAGATAAACACGGGGTTGCCATGAGTCAGAATCCACTCGGCAGCAACTAGTTTGGAAGGTTTTTTGGTATTAAACATCAGAGTGGCACTATGCACTGGGCAGCTGTTTATAAACGTCTGGAATTCGGAGGAGATAACCAAGTTGAACATAACACATTTCAGAGTCCTCTGGCTGTAGATGGTATTTAAAGCAACGGTTGAATGAAAGGCCCATAGAAATGAGTACAGCTAGGAAAGGGATGCGATCCCAGACTAAGCCCTGGTCTTTCACCTTTGAGAGCTCATGGAGGTGTGAGAACTAGCAAAAGAGACTGCGAAGGAGCGGCCTGAGAGGTAGGAGAAAAACCCAGAGAGGGCAGACTTGGAGCCAGGAGAACAGTGTGTTCAAGAAGTAAGAGGCGACCGCTTGTTGGTCCTCCTGAGAGACTGAGTCAAAGGAGGATAGAAGAGACCCGTGGGTTTGGTACTTTGGCGGTCCCTGGTGGCCTTGCCAAGAGCTGCTGCAGTGAGAGGGTGGCCCAAAGCCTTGTTGTCCTTGGGTCAAGGAGGAGAGGAAAAAGAGATGGTGGAGACGGCTCTCAGGGAGTTTGAGAGCATCAGCTAAATGGGGCAGTGGTTGAAGCTGGGGGTCCCTGAGTGGCACAAACCATTAACGCTCTTCAGCTGCCAACCAAAAGGTTAGAAGGTCAAGTCCACCCAGAGGTGGCACGGAAGAAAGGCCTGGCCATCTCCTTCCGCAAAATCAGCCCTTGAGAACCTGCAGTTCTACTGTAAACACGTGGGGTCGCCGTGAATTGGAGTCAACTCCACAGCATCTGGTTTGGCTTTTGGTTTCTTGGTGAAAGATGACTGTGCAGTGGGAAGAGGAGAGAACGGCAGGAGCCAGGCTTTCTGTGAAGGTGAGAAGCGAAGGCGTCCTGTGCAGGGAGAGCGCAGCCAGGACACCCGGGGTCCCAGGCGTGAAGACTCCCACCAGGACGCAGCCCTCCTACTGTAACAAGCACCTTCACTGCTCCCTTCAGGATAGATTTCCTGGAGTGGAGGACACTCCCCTGTGAAGGGGGACTTGAACTACCTGAGAAGGGAGTTCCTTGACTTCGTGGTAGCTCCTCCTCCCAACCCCAGGAAAAGCGGCCTGGCATGGGGACCTTTCCAGGCCTCCCTCAGGCTGAGCCCTCTTGCTGAATTTGGATGCTTGAAACTACCACCGGTTGCTATCAAGTCATTCCCAACCCATGACAAGCCCATGTATGACAAAGTAGAACCGTGCTCCTTTGGGGTGATTTTCCCGAAGTAGATGGCCAGGACTTTCTTCCAAAGAAACTCTCAGCCTGTGCTTAGTTGCTGAGAACACTAATCATTTGCATCCCTCAGGGACCCCTGAAGTCTCGTAGAACTGAAGCAATAAGCAGAAAGGAAGCTCCTCCTTCAACCTAAGACCCCAGAGCCATCTGGAGCAAGAGAGGTCCTTGCAGACCCTTATAACGGTGCTCAGAGTCCTTGGCGAGGTCGTTACAGTTGCACAGTCCCAGAACCCACATCACGCCTAGTGAGGTTGGTCCTCTCTGTTCTCAGTTAATCCCTGCGGTGATGCTGGTGCCGATCAGTGTTCAAAGAGCTGCCCTACAGCTCCGTGTGTTCACACCGCAGGCCGCATCCCTGGCTGCACGCTAGAGTCACCTGGGAAGCTTCCCGAAGCCCAGTGCCTGGGCTCACCCCTGAACAGCCCGGGCATCGGAGCCTTCTGAAGCTCTCTCAGGGATTCCATTGTGCAGCCCGGGGTGGGAACCACCGTATCAGTGGGCTGCAACCAGCGTTCTTTCTTAAGAGTAGAAGACACCAGGCAGGGGCACATGACAGTGCTGATGGCAAGACTTGTATTGTGAAGGCTTTGTTCCCTTGATACACCCACAAGTATTTATGTGTGAGTTTGGGGAGATGCTAGTAAATGGGAGTGAGGGTCAAAAGTTTGGAGCCTCTATTCTGGTCCACCTCTGTCATTCTGCAGACAGGGGACACTGAGCCCCAGAGAGAACAGGTTCCCCCCGAGGTTACACAGCTAGGCTGAGGCAGGCAGGACTGGAACTGAGGCTTTTTATTTCCCAGGTCTTACCTTCTCTTGCCTTGGTCACACCCACTCTGGGGAAATAAGCTGGATTCAGTGTTTGTTGTTAGGTGCCATTGAGTTGGTTCCGACTCGCAGCGACCCTGTGTGCAATAGAGCAAAACACTTGCCCGGTCCTATGCCATCCTCAGAATCGTTGCTTGGCTTGGGCTCATCGTTGCAGCCACTGTGTCAGTCTGTCTCGTTGGAGGTCTTCCTCTTACTCACTGACCTCCTGCTTTACTACTCAGAAGGAAGGTTGGCCAATCTACTTCCGTAGCAGTATTGCCTCAGAAACCCAAGGAGGGGTCGCTGTGAGTCGGATCCAACTTGATGGCAGTGAGTTTGTTTGTTTTTTTGTTTCTGCGTTACCGAGCATGATGTCCTTCTGCAGGGACTGGTGGTCCCTCCTGGTAACATGGCCAAAGTACACGAGACAAAGTCTCACCATCCTCGCTCCTCAGGAACATCGTGGCTGTTTTACTTTGAAGACAGATTTGTCCATTCTTCTTTGAGTCCATGGTATATTTACTATCCTTCATCAGTGCCGTAATTCAAAGGCATCAGTTCTTCCGTGCTCATTATTCATTTTCCAGCTTTCACATGTGTTTGAGGTGATAGAAGATACCATGGTTTGGGTCAGGTACACTTTAGTCCTCAAGGTGACATCTTTGCTTTTGCAGCAGATTTGCCCAGTGCGATATATCATTTGATTTCTTGACTGCTGCTTCTATGGGAAGGAGCTCTGGTGGCGCTGTGATTAAAGCATTGGGCTACTAACCAGAAGGTCAGTTGTTCAACTGCTTCCATAAAGATTTACAGCCTTGGGCACCCTGTGGGGTAACTCTGCTCTGTCCCACAGGGTCGCTATGAGTCAGAATTGACCCAATGGCAGTTGGTGGGTCAGCTTCCATGGGTGTTGATTGTAGATCCAAGTAAAATGAAATCCTTGACAGTGTCATTTTCTCTGTTATCATGATGTTGCTTCTTGGTCCAGTTTTGATGATTTTTTTTTCTTCATGTTGAGATGTAATCCATTCTGAAGGTGGTGTCTTTGATCTTCATCAGTAAGTGTGTCAAGTCCTCTTCACTTTCAGCATACTTTGGCTCTCATGGACTTGTTTTAATTTTCTTCAGCTTCAACTTGAACTTGCATAGGAGCCATTGGTGGTCTGTTCCACAGTCAGGCCTTGGCCCTGTTCTGACTGATGCTATTGAGCTCCATCACCTCTTCCCACAGATGGAGTCGATTTGATTCCTGTGTATTCCATCCTGTTAGGTTCACGTGTACAGTCACCATGTATGATGTTGGAAAAAAGTATTTGCAGTGAATAAGTCATTGGTCATGCAAAACTCTTATCACACAATCTCCAGTATCATTTCTATCTCTAAGGCCATATTTTCCAGCTACCAATCCTTCTTCTTGATTTCCAAGTTTAGCATTCCAGTCACTGGTGATTACTAGTTCATCTTGATTGCATGTTTGACCAATTCCAGACTGCAGAAGTTAGTAGGAATCTTTGATTTCTTCATCTTTGGCTTTAGTGGTTGGTGCATAAATTTGAATAATAGTCACGTTAGCTGATTTTCATGTATGTATATGGCTCTTATCCTATCAGTGATAGCACTGTACTTAAGGATAGATCTTGAAATGTTCTTTTTGACACCATTCCTCTTTAGTTTATCATTCCCAGCATAGTAAACAATACAGTTGTCTGATTCAGAATGGCCTATACCAGTCCATTGCAGCTCACTAATGGCTAACATGTTGATCTTTATACGTTCCATTTCATTTTTTGACAGCTTCACATTTTCCTAGACTAATACTTCGTACATTCTGTTTTGCAGTTATTAATGGATGTTTGCAGCTGTTTTTTCCCATTTTGAGTTGTGCCACGTCAGTGAATGAAGGTCCCAAAAGCTTTACTCCACTACATCATTAAGGTCAATCTACTTTGAGGAGGCAGCTCTTCCCCAGTAGTAGTTTGAGTGCCTTCCTGCACTGTATCAGACAGTGTTCCAGCGCTTTTCATAAGGTTTTCCCTGGCCAATTTTTTCAGAAGTTGACCGCCTTGTTCTCCTTCCTGCTACTAGGGATTGGTGTCCACCCCAGGCATTTGTTCTTTTCTCCGGTATCCTGACTACTGCAGAGTTTGGGGACGAAGGCCTGAAGGAAGAGAACTGGGCTGGGGAAACTGGAAGGGACAGTTCAGACTGGCTGCAGTGAGAGGGCAGAGGTTAGCGCTCATGAAGAACTTCCCACCAAGTTAATACCGTTAGCTGAAGTCGTGCGCTCCCGCGCCCAGCTGTCAGTTTGTTACACTGTGGTGTCTTGCGTGTTGCTGTGATGCTGAAAGCTATGCCAACAGTATTTGAAAGACCAACAGGGTCGTCCACGGAGGACAGGCGTCAGCAGAGCTTCCGGACTGAGAGAGATGAGGGAGAAAGACCTGGCTGTCTGCTTCCAACAATCAGCCAGTGAAACCCTGTGACCCGCACTGGCCTGTTGTCTGACTTGGTGTTGGATGGCGAGCCCCTGGGTCGGAAGGCACTCAGAATGCGCGGTGGTGAGAACAGTGTACTCGCGCATGGCAGTGATGGTGAGGGTGGCACAAGACAGGCAGCATTGCATTCTGTTGTGCATGGGGTCGCCGTGTGCAGAGCCAGCTCGTGCCACGACCCAGGCATTTAGTCTCTCTGTGGACTCTCATTTAATCCTCATAGAACGTGGTAAGGGAAGTACAAGGAAGCTTGTGAGGGCTGGAATTCACTTGGATTGCCTTGTTTATCCACATCGCCATGTCTTTTCTGCCTCTGACAGCGTGTGGTCTTACTACTTTTCATTCTCTCCTTTTAGTGGAAAATATTTCCATTTTCCTTCTCTGGCAGGTTTTTGCCTTACACAGGTTCTGGCTTTTGTAGGTTTTACGGTACTGTTATTATCCCCTTGTTACAGACAAGGAAGCACAGACAGACAGGTGAAGCAAGCGCTCAAAGGATCGCTCCCCACGGGTGGTGGGCCGGGCTGGGGGCAGCACAGGGCGCTCTGGCCACCTCGTTCCGTGGCCCCGCTGTGAAGTGCCCGCCTTGAGCCCCAGAAGCAGGGAAGGTGTGGGTGAGGCCTTCCCTGTTGTCTCTCCAGGTGATACCTCCGTCCTGGCGGGGGTGTACGGGCCGGCCGAGGTGAAGGTCAGCAAGGAGATCTTCAACAAGGCCACTTTGGAGGTGCTCCTGAGGCCGAAGATCGGGCTGCCAGGTGATGGAGCCCAGCGGGCCTCCGAACAGACCCCGCCTGCCTCCTCTCTCCCTGCCACCCCAGCTCCACTCCTCCTCCTCCTCCCTGGAGCTACTTCTGTCTCCTCCTCCACTCTGCCGCTGGGTCTGTTTCTGCCCCTTTTTTCTCTCTGCCTCCCCATTTCTCTGTCTCCACCCTCTCGTCCCTTCTCTTTCTGCCATCGCCCCCCTCTCTCCGTTGCCCTTCTTCCTCCCTCATCTGCCTCCATCGCCCTCAACTCGGGGGCTGGGCCCCCTGGGAGGGGAGTAGGCTACAGCATGAGATGTGGGAACCCCCAGATTTCTTCCCTCAGTGGATCCAGAGGTGGCGGGGGCCGGGGGGATGGCAGTCAGGCCGCCTATCCGCTGGGAATCCTCCATGAACCACACAGGGTCCTGCAGCATCCCTGGCTGGGGCTGCAGACCCCTTGCAGACAACTTGAGGGGTGTGGAGGAAGGTAAGTGTACAGAGGGAAGTGCCTCACCCCTGCCCCGCATTCCCCAGGTGTAGCAGAGAAGAGCCGGGAGTGGCTGATCAGGAACACATGTGAGGCCGTGGTTTTGGGGGCACTGCACCCTCGTACCTCCATCACTGTGGTGCTGCAGGTCATCAGCGATGCTGGCTCCGTATCCTTTTCCCCCAGGCTGCCGCCTCCTCCAGGAAGCCCTCCAGACTCTCCCCACTTGTGTCCCTTGCTAATAGACGTGTCCACTCTTTCTTCTAGACAGAAAATCTCCAAACACTTGACACCTACCAACTCATGAAGAAGAACAGCAAACGGAGTGCATACTGTGTGCCAGGCCCTGTTCTAAGTGCCTTACATGTATTCATTCAGTTATCCTTACAGCAACTCTCTGAAACAGAAGCCACGATTATCCCCATTTTCCAGAAGAGGAGACTGAGGCCCAGTAAGTCACAAAGCTGTTAAGTGGTAAAGCCAGGACTGGAGCCTAAGGACCTTGGCAGACAGGTGTGCTTTTGTTTGAGGTGAGGAAAGGGAGGCCCAGGGAGTGAAAGTTGCTTGCCAGGGTCACGTAGCTGGAAGGCAGCGGAGGCAGAACTCAAGCCCAGGCCTGTCTGGCTCTATGCCTGTGCGGTTGACCTTGAAGTTTAACTGGGGTTTGAGGCCCCCAGTGCCAGGGAGGCCTAAGCAGTTGCAGCAGGAGCTCAGCCTGGAAAGATCTCTGCAGTTTGGGAAGATAGGTTTAGGGTGAAGACCAGAAACTGGCATTTTTGAGGCACTCCATGGTGCACAGCCCTGCAATGGGCAGGCACTTTATAGGTGAGAAAGAGCTGTGGTGGCATAGTGGGTAAGACATTGGTCTCTAACCCGAAGGTCAGAGGTTCAAACCCACCAGCTGCTCTGCAAGAGGAAGATGAGGTGATCTACTTCTGTAAAGATATACAGCCTTAGAAACCCAGTGGAGGTTGCTGTGAGTTGAAATTGACTCGATGGCAGTGGGTTTGATTTTTGGTTTTATAGGTGGGAGAGAGAGGAGCTGTGGGACCACCATTTTATAGCGAGAGCAAAACTGGATCTAGAGGAGATGTGACAACGGATCAGAGGCAGAGCCAGGACTGGCGGGTTCTGAAGCTGGGACTCTCACCTGAGTTCAGTGTGGGGAAGACAGACAGACAGGGAAACAGAGGCAGAGCCTTCTGCCTGGCTCCAGGCCTTCCACTGTGCTGTGGCCACGCCCCTGCCCTGGCCGATCACTTCCCTGAGGACAAGGACAGTGGCTCTTCCTTTCCTCATCCTGCCAGCGCCACAACTGGTACTGGCTGCCTGCTACACTCTAAGGTTCTGGGCCTGGCCTTGCCAGTTCCTCGCCACATGACCTGGGAAGGTTTCTTCCCCTCGCTGGTCCTCAGTATCCCCAAGGATGCTGAGCACATAACTTCAGGACCTATTTGTTTGAAAGTCTCTATGATTTCCATTTAACAGAGGAAGAAATTGAGGCTTCGGGAGGGTAAGGCACTTGCCTGAGGTTACACAGCTGAGAAGTGGCAAAGCTGGGTCAGGCATCCAGGGACATTTGATCCCGTAACACATACTTTAAAAAAAAAAAAAAAAATTGACATTTTTATTAGATTGAACATTTTTCAATGTTTACCATTTATATTTCTACTTTTGAAAATTATCTATTTGGACTTTCATTCATTTTTCCATTGTAGTATTAGTCCTTTTCATACTAAATTACTACCACTCAGTATAAAAGCACATAACTGTCATTAACATGTAACCAAAAAACCACGCTTAATGCCATCAAGTTGGTTCCGACTCATAGCGACCCCTCCTTGGGTTTCTGAGGTGGTCTTTCTATGGGAGTAGATTGCCCAGTCTTCCAAGGAGTGTCTGGTGGGTTTGAACCACTAGCCTTCTGGTTAGCAGTCAAATGCACTATGCCACCAGAGCTCCCACTTAACAACATCTAAAAATTTATTTTTTTAATATTGTCAAATCAATCAGCTTTTTCCTTTGTGATTTTTCCACAACTTTTATGCTTAGAAAATCCTTTCCCATTCCAGAACTCATACTTTTAACCACTCCAGTATATTGCCTTTCTGTGATCGATTAGTGATGTCTGCCACAGGCACCAGCAGGGTACATGGAGGCATGAATGTATTCTTCTGGCCAGCTCTGCAGCAGAAACTCTTCTTAACTGCTCCCTGTGGTACTCAGCTCCTGGCCTGTTGCCTCAATGCTGCCTGCATGGCACTGGTGGATGCAGGTGTGCCCATGAGGGCCCTCTTCTGTGGGGTCACCTGTGCCCTGGATGCTGATGGGAATCTCGTGCTGGACCCCACAGCCAAGCAAGAAAAGGTAGGTGAAGGCCAAGATGGCTGAAGGGCTGTGAGCAGAAAGCTTTCCCTCTGTTCTTCCTCTAGGCTTCACTTTTCTCCAAAATGGTTGGCTTGTGCCACCTCAGCCCCAGTTGGCAAGCTCTGCTGTCTGCCACGTCCCAGTCAACTGCAAATGCTAGAAATCCAGCTCAGACTACTGTAACCAAAAGAGATGACTGACTGGCTTTTTTCCCAAACTTGGAAAGAACAGGGGAGGCGCTGGAACCAGCACTTCCAATGTCTTTGGACTTCCTTGCTTCATTCTGTGCCTCACCTTCATTCTCTCTGGCCAGCATCTTTCTTGAGGCTGGTACTGGCTCTTTGAGCTGCACACTTGCATCTTTAGAGGCCCAAAAGCAGAGGGGAAGAGAAGCAAGCTTTCCCCATCAGCTCAAGTTCATGATGACCTAGGGATCTGGTTGCTCTGAGCTATTTGCCTACTGCTCAAATGGTCACATCCAGTCAGTAAAACAGAAGCCACTCAGTATCTCACACAGCAGTTTAGTGCAGGGGATTGGTTACAGCAGTGTTGGAGGAGGAGCAAAAAGGAAGAAGGGGTGGTGCTAGAGATTAAAGTGGCTCCCAGCTGAAGCCTGTAATCCAACTCCTGCTCTGTGTTCTTGGAGACACTGTCTCAGTCAGTTCTGGGTGACAAAAGGTGTCCTGGCTGCTGAAGTCTAGAAGCCACCTACCTCCACGGCTGCTATGGCAGCCGCCACACCATAACCACCTGCCACTGTCAAGAGTAAAGACTGGGATGCTTCTCTCGCTTTTCCTCCTTCCAGTCTCCCACCAGATGACTCGTAGAACCCAGGTGGCAAGGGAACCTGAGAAATGTAGTTTGCTGACATCTAGCCCCCTTGCAGTACACAGCATGGAAGAGCGGGTGGGAGGCTGAGAGGCACCAGGTGAATGACTGGCACTGTGGCCACCCCAGTGGGGCAGGAAGACTGTGCTTAGAAGTTCCCGTTGGAACCAGGTAGTTGCATGAGGGACAAGGAGGGCATTTCTACAAAGAAAAGGTAGAGAGCGTTACCCACAGAAGCAGGGAAAGAGTGGTGTGTCGACAAGATATGACTACACTTGATACATGGGTACCTGGCTGTGGACAAGGGGAGGTCCTGAGGCTGAAACTCTGGGGCCTCGTCTTGGGTTGGGTTCTTCTGAGGGATAGTCCTCACCTTCTGTCCTGTCCCTAGGAGGCCCGGGCAGTCCTGACTTTTGCACTCGACAGTGTGGAACAGAAGTTGTTGATGTCCACCACCAAGGGGCTGTACTCCAATGCTGAGGTACCAGGGGCAGGGGGGCAGAATCTTCCCTCTCACCCTGATGTGAGGTCTTACCCCAGCTCTGCCCTGGACATCGAGTGGTTGGTTTAAGGATGCCTCTTCCCGTGTCTGGAAAAAGAGGGTATTTCCAAACTTTACAACTACAGAAACCTCTGTGAGAAATGCACTCTTAGAGGAAAGTCCAGTTTATAAGATAGCAGGAACGGGGGGAGTAGCTCAGTTTACAATCCTGAGGTGGGAAGCACCTGAAAGCCTCCACCTCCGTCAGAGTCGGGGTGCACCTCCCCAGGTTCTAGGTCTCTGAGGAACAGTGTGGGAAGTGTCGGGCCAGCTGGTCTGGTCTCCAAGAACATTGCCAATCCGGATCTCCTATGAGCCTAGGAAACTGTGACAGTGTATTTGGGGTCTCTGATTCCATGCCTTTTAAGAAGACTTTTGGGGCTCAAAGTCACCATGGCTCTAAAATTCCAGGATCTCTCAAATTCTGTGAGCTTTAAGGGTCATTGGCCTTAATAGATTGGAGTCTTGAAGCCCAACGCCCTATAAAAGGAGCTCTGGTGGTGTAGTGTTTAAGGCATTTGGCTGCTAATCAAAAGGTCGGTGGTTCAAACCCACCAGCCGTGCTGCAGAAGAAAGATGAAACAGTCTAAAGATTTACAGCCTTGGAAACCCAATGGGGGTCATTATGAGTTGGAATCAACTCAGTGCCAGTGAGTTGGGTTTTTAGAGTTCAGTGTCCTATCGCTCTCAGAGTCTGATTCCAGAAGCCCTCACCATCGTTTTCTTTTTTCCCCCTTTTCCCCTCAAAAAGCCCATGAAGTGGGAAATAAAGGAAGGGGAAAAAAAACAGCGGCTGTCAAGTCAGCCCCAACTCACAGCGCTGCTGTGTGTGTCAGAGTTAAACTGTCCTCCATAGGGTTTGTAGTGGCTGAGTTTTGGGGCAGGAGACCACTGGGTCTGTCTTCCAAGGTGACTGGGTGGACTCAAACCTCCAAGCTTTCGGTTAGCAGCCGAGCCTGTTAACTGAAGCACCACCCAGGGACTTGAAAAAGAAGAAGATGCACTTGGGGGAGGTGGTAGGTTTGGGAGACTCGGGTCAGCGTGCTGTGTGGTGTGTGGGTCTTGGATGGGCCTCCAGTGCTGACCAGTCTCTCCCCATCCCAGCTCCAGCAGTGCCTGGCTGCAGCCCAAGCCACCTCGCAACACATCTTCCGCTTCTACCGAGAGTCATTGCAGCGGCGTTACTCCAAGACCTGAGGCAGGCGGGGCAGGGGGCCTCCTGCTGCCACCGCCCACAGCCTCCAGTGTAAAATAAACCAATCCCCCGCCTGGCTTCTCCGTGCTGCGTGCTTTGTGAAGCCATGGTGCCAGAGCTGCAGAGCAGTGGGACACAGCCCAGCCCCCACACTTGGGTCCAGTCCCAAGGCCTGGGAAGCAGGGGCACACTGACCCTCCAAGGACAACACGGGGAAGAGATCACACATAGTGGACGAATGTCTCGGTGTATATTCATTCCAGTAAACTGGGGCACCCACTGTGGGGAGCCCTGTTAGGGCCCAGGTCCCAAATTCAAGGACTAGTGGGGAGACGGACATACAAAATTGGGTGTTTATCAGATGGGAAAGTGCCATGGAAACATGGAAAGCAGAGATGGAAGAGTTACTTTGGGGAGGGAGCGCAGGTTTAACGTGTGGCTCATGGAAGCCCTCACAGAGGAGGGGACACCTGTGTGAAGCCCCATGGGAGGGAAGGCACAAGCTCACAGATACCCGAGGGAAAGAAGAGCTGCCAGGCCAGGGGCCAGTGTGGCTGGCTGGGAGTCAAGCAAGAGAGGGAGGAGGGGCTTAGAAAAGGAACAGGGGGATTCAGATTTCTTCCCTGTTCACACCCATGTCCATCACAGCACTGTTCACAGTAGCAAAGAGATGGAAACAACCGAGGTGCCCATCAATGGAGGAATGGATAAACTATGATGCACACACACAATGAAATACTATGCAACACATAATGAATCTTTGAAACACCTCATAATGTGGATGAACTTGGAGGATATTAACCTGAGTAACATAAGTCATCACAAAAGGGCAAATACTGCATGAGCCCACTATGATAAGTCAAAAGTTTACACACAGAAAGCAGCATTCTTTGATGCTTACTCCCTGGTAGGAGGGGAGGAGAGAGAAAATGATTGGGTAAGAGACATGTATTGATTTGAGTGAAAGAAAGGGAAGGCAGTCTGCAAAAAGTGGGTGGCCAGAGCAGTATCACTAAGGAAAAGGAAGACAGGAGTTGGTGCACAAGAGTTACAGACGACAAAGGTAAACACTACCACGTGCACAATACTACAGTACCAGTAATGACAGTCTACAAGTGGATACGTAGGCAGACAGGCAAGATGATCAGCTACGGGTAGGCAAACAGCACTATACCCATGCCCATACACATTTCTACCTACACAGTTGTGTGTGATGTAGAAATTTCCCTCTATACAATAGAACTAATGGGGCAAAGTTTTGAAAATTTCTCAGCCATAACCAAATGCATTGAGTGAGTTGCTGGGCATATGGGTCAGGACCATAGACATGGGGGACATCAAGGTCAGTTGGCATGACATACTCCACAAAGACGTTGCTCTACATCCTACTTTGGTGAATAGCAACTGGGGTCTTAAAAACTTGTGAGTGGCCACTTAAGATGCTACTATTGATCACTTCTCATCCAGAGCAAAGAAGAGTGAAGAATATAAAAGACACATGGAAACAATTAGTACAAGGGACCATGGGCCATGTGAATCTCAGTCTCCATGAACCTGAGACCAGAAGAACTAGATGGTGCCCAGCTACCACTGCCAACCACTCCAAAAGGGATCACAGTAGGAAATACTGGATAGAGTAGGAGAAAGGTGTAGAACAAAACTCAGTATGATAAAAAAGCAGGCTTAGTGGTGTGATAGAGACTGGTGGAATGAATCCTTGAGACTATAGCCCTGAGTCACCCATCAAGCCTGGAACTGAACTCGCTCCCGGTGCTCAACTTGTGGCCAACAACAGACAGACCTCTGAGGTGAACAGTACCACCAGGAGTGTATGCATTTCTCAGAACAGTCAACTATAGGAGAGCCCAAGGGCAGCATTTGCCTAGGGATAAAGCTCAGAAGGCAGGAAGGGGTAGATAGGCGAGAAGGACAGAGGGAAATGGTAACCACAGGAGGAAGTGGAAAAAGTGCCGTTACATTGCAATCAGTGTCATGAAACAATGGGTATGAACTGTTGAATGGAAAACCAATTTGCTCTGCAAACTTTTACCCAAACCACAATTTTAAAAGTTTAAAAAATAATAATAATAAAACTAATAATAGAAGTGTCACTCCACACCTTGAGCAAAAAAAATGACATGTCTGTCAGGCCAATTGCTGCAGGGTTCACAGGCTCTAGCTATCTCATGGCAGTCCCACAGTTGCTCCTCTGGGTGGGCCTTGTCATACTCCCCTGTAACCAGGAATGAAACGTAAATCTCACAAGCTGGAAATTATGCCCACGAGACAATCGAGACAATCGGGGAGGCCAAATGGGGAATAGTGTTTTCTTCTAGCAAAGTCCCAGTCAGATGCCGTAGGCACTATGCCACCAGAGCTCCCTCTAGCAACGTCTTTTGAAATGGCATTGAACTATGAGAAAGCTAAGTGCTTGTAACATTGTCACAGATACTATTGTTATTGTTGGGTGCTGTCAAGTGGGCTCCAACTCCCAAGAACCCGATGTACAAAAAAATGAACCACTGCCCGGTCCGGCACCAGCCTCACAATCCTTTCTGTACCTGAGCCCATCGCTGCAGCCACTGTGTCAGTCAAGCTTGTTGAGGGCCTTTCCCTTTTTCGCTGAACCTCCACTTCACCAAACATGGCATCTTTCACCAGGCAATGGTCCCTTCTGACAACATGACCAAAGCAGGTGAGACGAAGTGTGGCCATTCTTGCTTCCAAGGAGCATTCCAGCTGCACTTCTTCCAGGACAGATTTGTTAGTTCTTCTGGCAGTCTATGGTACTTTCAGTATTCTTTGCCAACACCACAACTCAAAAGCATCAACTCTTCTTTGGTCTTCCTTACTCACTGTCCAACTTTCACATGCATGTGAGCCAATTGAAAAAACCATGGCTTTGGTTAGGTGCACCTTAGTCTTCAAAGAGATCTCTTTGCTCCTTAGCA